TTTATACAATTTCTAAAGGATTTCTATAAAATTTCTAAAGGATTTCTATACAATTTCTAAAGAATCTATAGAAATTAACAGCATTTCTATAGAAAATAACAAGTGTTTCTATAGAGAGTAACGCCGTTATAATTTCTTTTCTATAGAAAACTATTATTTTCTATTGAAATTGACAATACTTCTATAGAAAAGAACAGCATTTCTATAGAAATTATTGCAAATATATAATTTTTTCTATAGAAAACTTTGTAAATCTCTATGGAAAATAACAGCAAATCTATAGAAAGTAACGCTGTTATAATTTCTTTCCTATAGAAAACTATTATTTTCTATAGAAATTCACAATACCTCTATAGAAAAGAACAGCATTTCTATAGAAAGTAAGGCTGTTATAATTTCTTTTCTATAGAAAACTATTATTTTCTATAGAAATTCACAATACTTTTATAGAAAAGAACAGCATTTCTATAGAAATTATTGCAGATATAATTTTTTCTATAGAAAATTATATAAATCTCTATGGAAAATAACAGCATTTCTATAGAAATTATTGCTTATATAATATATTTTCACGAACTGTATTATTCTCTATAGAAATGTACAGAATTTCTATAGAAATAATGCTGATATATTATATTTTCTATAGGAAAGAAAATAACGCTGATAAAATTAATTTTCATAGAAATTTACAGCACTTCTCTTGAAAATAACGCTGATATAATTTTTTTATATCGTTCGATCACTAAAAAATTGTTTTCACGAATCAAAAAAGAAGTGTAAAAATAAAAAATCATAGGCCTACAAGATGATTGTAATGTACAAATGTGTTTTGGTAGTTCATGGCAGGAAACATGAAATGTTTGAACCCACTGTACAGAAATCCCAACAAAATGTATTCATTCTCAAGATCTTTATTTAACACATATTAAACATATATATAACAGGTCAAACAACCAAACTAAAATAATGTTTGCATTGCATCTTCTAAAAGTAGAAAAAAAAAACGGGATTCAATATCTTAAAAGAATAAACTGCATTGAATTTTACTAGCATTATGAAGTCACACGATGTAGCACTAGTGGTATTGTGCAAACATATAAAGATTTATAAAAATAATTTTACAATATATAATAGCTGTATTTACAGTAAATTGCAGGCCTATATAAAATATTATAAATATATTAAATAACATCAAGGTACTGTAAGCGATATTGATAAGGGTAGATGAAAGAAAAGTTTTATATATTTTTATATACTATTACAGTACAGTATTAGATTTAACTTTACACGAATTTAATAGATGTGAAAGACTCAAAAAAGAAATTCCAAAACATAAGGTGGATAACCCTGCACAGTATGGACCATTCATAATTATCAACAAATGTATAAACAGTATGCTAAGGGTGAAAGGGCCTGGTACTAAATACAAAATTAAATGAAAGGAATTTACAAAAGCTTAAAATATTGATTGAAACCGGTTTTCTAAATTTAATAACATGCCAATATGGATTATTTAAACCTAATTATGTATCTATGTACCCATTAAAAAAAAGGCTATAGAGAACAGTATTGCAAAATCAACAAATACATTGATAATTGCATGCGGTACATTTTAAAAGCCTTTTCATGCTTCTGTTATATTCATAAGCCGGAGAAAATCACCCAACTTGCTAGGCCTATTTCTTTAGTTGCATAACTGGAGTATAATTGTGGAAAGAAATGTTTCCACATATTTATTGCCATGGTACTCTTAAGGCGAAGATGACACAAGGTTTGTGAT